TGGCAAAGGGAGTCTCCATAGCAAGGGTTCTTACAGGGTCATCTTAGCTGGATTGGCTGAGACTCCCTAAAACATGTTTCTGTACAATTTTTGTAACCCAGCTGACCCATGGTCCTACCTGACCACTGCAAGATATGTATTATGTGTATAGATCACCTTAACCTATGTACAAAACATTTCCCAACTATCTTAAGTATGTACAATAGACTGTCCTACATGATCATTTCTACACATGCAGGAACTGTTCCTATTGATTGTCTTACTCTTGTACAATTGATTAACTTTGCAGCAGGAACTGCCTGTGAATATCTGGGACAGCCAGATTTCTTTGCCCAGGATGTTAATCGACATGCTTAAGCATACAAATTGGTCTAGCCACAGCAGGGTCTGCCTGGGGAATCTCAACAACTGTCTGAAATTCCCACCGGGACCACTCCTGGTAACAAGCTGTCAAATACTTCTTGTGCCAGCTGTTCCATCAATCACCTAGCTTCAGCTTGGGCTGCTGTCTCAAACCAGTCCTTTATCTCATCTGTGCAGAAATCAAGCCTGGGAGTTGCTGGACCACTGAGGGAATTTAAGTGCACTAGGGGTGCACACAGGCACAGCCCTGAGAACCAACTATGCTACAATCATAATTAAAGAATTAAACTTTATTTTTCTGCTTAAGTCTCATAGCCCTTGCCCATTAGCTCAGCTGGCTGGAGCATGGTGCTAATGACACCAAGGTCGTGGGTTCAATCTCTCTACAGACCCTTCACTTAAGAGCTTGACTCAATGATCCTTGTGCATCCCTTCTAACTCAGAGTATTTTGTGATGTCTGTCTAAATGATGTCAATATCTGACCTAGTGAACTGGCTTCAAAGTTGATGAAAGTGGCTAAGAAGTAATTCACCTCATACTGCAGCAAATGCCCAAAGATAAGTGATCTTCATGCCATGCTTTACCTGAGTTTGGTTGTGCCGTATCAGACTACTGATTTTGACTGAGAGTGCAGATGTCAACATTTCTGATAGGAAATCACCTAATGCAGCACTGGTACTCAGATTTGTGGTCTGTTGTTTCGGAGAACAGTAAAAGCTGCAATATTATCTATACGTATAGCAAAGAATGGAGCTTTCCATATTTCTCTTTCAGATAAAATGTTCATCTCTTACAAAACCCTCTTCACCATCCCTTCAAGTTCATAAATCAATTGCAGCACATGTGGGCTAAACTATTTAAAGGAGATGGCTTTTCTGCTCTATCAGTGATTAAAGGACTGTGTATCTGGGCCATTTACACACAGCAGAGCAGGCAACTGCTCATTCTACATTCTGCCTTCTTTAGTTCACCTGACGTTGTCACCAGTGTGTCAAGCAACATGTGGGAAAACAAACTCACGTCATCTGTATTCCACCCATCACATACAGTACTGCCTTATCAGCTGTTCCTTCTGCTCTGGGACAGTGCAGATCACAATGAATTTAATGCCTCTATTTCCCTCGGAGTGAACTGACACAAGATTCCATGTTTAACAATGAAGTGCAGAAGCCAAGTGCTCAAACTGCACACCTTCAATAGTTTGTTCTGGAGCTTCTTCATGTAAGACTGAACTGAAAAAACCACAATACTCTGCAGCCACATATGCGCAAATCACAGCTGTAATAGATGAATGTTTCACAAGTTTTTTTTGCCTTTTATTTAATGCTCAAAGACCATTTTCAGTTTCCAATTATTTTGTGGGATGCATTGTTGTATTAGATGCATCTACACATTAGGACCAAAGCTGACTAACACAACTAAAGGGATCGTATAAAGTGAATTTACACTGCCAAGTAACTTTCCAGTTTGCAGTCACAGCCATATATGGCCACATAAATTCGGAAGAGTTTTGTGTGGGCCATACTGAGTAGTGCAAGAATGAAGAATGCAGCTGTGGAATAGTTCAATTACTGGCACCATTATCAGCAGCCCACACTTCAAGGACGCTTACTGCTGATTACTGACTGCACGTAGCAGGTTTAGTTAATGGGAGAGAGTTCCAAATCCTAACAGCTAGTGAGTTGAGGGAGAGCTTTTAAGCACCCATCCATGTTCCTTGAGGTTATTGGCAAGGCAGTGAGGAGACAGGCCAAGTTATGTTGGGGAAGGTTACAAGCATCTTAGTACAACTGGCTGTTAAAATCTTCAAACTAACTGGTTTAAAGAAATATATCCAGCAAGCTGCCATCTCAACTGTGTCTGACCCTGCTCCTGGAAATGCTGTTATTTTGGCTCAGCTCCACAGCTAAGTTTCCTCCTCTTCTATCCCATCCCTTATAACGCACCCCAAGCAAAGATATACCTTTCCTTGGCCATTCTTTCCATCTCTCTTCCAAGCAGGCTGCTGGTAGTTTGGCAGCATCTGCTTCTAGGGAGAGAATGAACCTAGCCTCTTTGTGGTGCACCAGCAAGGCGAACAGCTGTGTCACCTTGCAAAAGCAAAAATAAGTCTTCTGACATGCTTAATTCACAGCAGCAAAGCAGATATGTTGGTTTGCTGGCCCTAGAAATTCTGATATAATCCATAATACCTTGTCTTCCCTTTCTTGCAGTGAAGTGTCCAGTTTTCCTCTAAAACCCGAGAGAAAACAACAGCCACAGCCAAGACTAATTTTCTGTGCCTTTCCTCAGGACACTGGTATCTCTAAGCTACACAGCATGTATTTTAAGAGCTGCAGGATATGTTAAGAAACACTGCCAAATACCAAATACTTTAGTCTCCAAATTCTGCCTTTTAAAAAATTAATATGCTACTGGAAACTGTTGCCTGAATTCTAAATAGCTACTTGAAAACAAAAAAGCATCCATATTATTTATGGAGGATCTAATATTATGTGCTCTCTTCCACTGTTTGAGCAGGAACAGGAGTAGAAGCAGGACTCTTCTCAGGTCTTAAGGGCTTAATCTAACATGCCAGCTCTGCTGCATTAGAAGGAAGAGGCTGGAAGCTCATACATATCCAATGGGAAAAAAACAAACATGAAATGAAATGTTTTCTGCAGCAGCTAAAATATGTTCCAAAACAACTGAACATCAGTGAATGAAAGCTAAGCAGAAAGTTCTCATGCCATTACTCAGTTTAAATCCTTTTAAAAGTCAGAAATTGGTATTGATTGCAGGCTTAAAAAAGAACTATGGAGGGTCATTTAAACTGAAACATAGCATATACTGTAACAGTGAATCCATAGATCACTTCAGAGAAAGACAGGCTTTCTAGTAAACATCCAGCATCAGCTCTATGTTTTCTTAACACCAGGCAGCAAAATACAGCTCCCAAGAGTGCAGGTGAAATACATGAACCTAAACCAATCATTAAATCCTCTCTAGGGGCTACATAAGAAACAAATGAGATGAGCTTCTACAGCTGTCTGTAAACAGCTCCTCTGTCGTCTTTGCTAAAACCTGCAGAATGATCTGGATATGAGCCAGCATCATTCCTGTTTTTTTAAAACTCTGTTTATATTTATAACTCTTTGCTCTCCTTTGCCAGTGTCTATCACATTCTCCTATGCTCAGTACTACATATTGTGGTTTTTTGGCCACTGAAACCAAGGAAATTGCTTGGTATGGAAAATGATGAACTCTGAACAAGAGGGGCAAAACTGGAAAGACCTATTTAGGCATCAATACCTGCATCCAGGTAGACACTGGTCCTCAACCTAAAGCCTATGGGTTGCATGCAAGATAATCTTGTGTGGATGTAGGTCGCCAGTCATATAAAAAATCAAGGCTGAGTGAAGAGGGAGGGACAAAACAGTTTTGCTCTGTAGCCTCATATCTACTCAGTGCTTTGCCTATAAATCAGAAATTGGGGATCACTGAAGTAAGCTCTCTTGATTATTATTTACTTAACTAGATTGGAACATACCCAAATGACCAGAAGGAAAACACTAAGAGGTCTGTCTTCCCCAGCTGAGAGACTAATTAAAAACCCTACAATTTGCAGAAAAGCACATGTAACATAGACACGTACGGGATTGATAGGAAAAAACCTCCTCCTTGCTATAAAGCTATAAAGAACAGAAGGGGGATCTCTGGCTAATTAGGTTAATATCATCTTATGGCTTCATGTAAAAGAACCAATGAAAAATAAAAACAGAAACAAAGTATTTTTCTCCAGAATCACTTTTTTTCCCTTTTCCATCTCTTTCTAAAGCTTTCTGTATTCAGTATTTCACAACGCGGTGTGCTTTGAATTTCCCCTCTAGTAAGTACAGCAATTTGCTAAATTTAGGGGTTTTTTCCTTGTTTCAGGGTCCTGTTCAGAACAATCTGCTAAGTAATACAAATTACTGCCACCAACTTCAAATGCTAAAGTCTGAATATTTCATTCTACCTCAACAGGTAAAAAAAACATACAGCTCCAAATCGATGCTGTGCCTCCATGTTCTGATTTAAACTTTTTAAGTATGAAAAGATAATTACTTTGAGTAAGTGATTCCCAACCCCCCCACCCCATTGACTGAACTCTTTTAACAATAATTTCTTTTGGAAGGGCATACATACAAAAAAGGTAGCCATTATACTAATGCTACCTTGTCGAAATGTGTGTACTTAGAGTTTCACACACCTGTGCTTGAGGAATGCAAGGCAGTTAGGTGTTTCCAGTAACAGACTTGGGTTTATTGAGCAAGATTCTTAAGATTTCACCATTGCTACTAGGAAGAAGTATCCTTAAAAAAACATAGTGTGATCAGATGGACAGCCAGAATCCTCTTGCTAGCAAGTGAAATTCTAAGCTGCTACACAAAACATTTCATTAGCTGCTCTCATTCTAGAGAACTGCACTGATTTTAGCCATTTAGCATCTTCCAGTTATTTGGGTTACAACCACATCAGCTAGAATTAGTTGTCATCAGGGAGAATATTTTTAGGCAGTAGTTCCCCTGCAATTCACCAGTCAAGGGAGATGAGGAAAAAAGGGTGACATGAAATCACAAGGAGATGACTGACACCTGCGTCTGTGTGTCTTTACCTTGAGCTCATCTGCATCATAGAAGTCTATGCGCACGGCCGGGACCATCCACGTCTGGAACAGAGTGGCCAGGATCTGTTTGGCAATTGCATCTGCGATGAGGTGGAAATGGAGCGGGTTCCGCCTGATACAAGGAGGGAGAGGAACGTGTTAGTTCAAAGGTTTCTAATTCCTGTTCTTAAAGGACAACATCAGAATTTATGAAGTTTTATCTGTGTCTACCATGTCAAGTTTTGTGTTTGCAGCATGTCTGGTCTGCTCTGTGCCCAAAATGCTGAGACACAATTTGAATACACATGACCACAACACAATACTCAATCAGTTTCTGGGTGGCTATGAACTCACAGAACCTTTGACTCCAGCAGAATGTCATGATTTATAACACTTAAGAGTCTTGTCCCATGCACCAGCTCCTTAAAAAAAGGCCAAGTTAATATGCCTTTGGGGACTTGAGCTTTAGAAATGATTGTTTCAGTTTCTAGGTGAACCTGATAATTTATCTTTGTAGTAAGAAGACTGTTCTAGGTTAAATACAACAATTTAAATTAAGTTCAATTCTGGGACCCCTGAGTTTACGTAGAACTTTTCTACAAAACAATCTTGGGGAACCAACAGCTGCCCCATAGGAGCCCAAAATTAGATGTTTCATGGTGAGTGCCTTCTAGCTATTCACTGGCATAGTGAACAGAATGGAAATTGCAAATCTTACCATATCCTTTTTTCCTACTGGTTAAAGAAAGGCACCAGAGTGCCTTTTACTTCAAAACACCAGATCTGGGTTCGCCTCTGTAATCACATGACTTAGGCTAACTGAAAAGCTTCAAAACAAGACGGGTGAAGCCAGTATCAGCAAGACTGGCAAGCTCTGACAAAGTGTATGGGTTTTTCTATACTAATGTGAACTTAGACATTATAAATACCTTGTTTAATTCCCTTAACCTCCCTCCCTCTTTGGGGGAAAATAAGCAACAAAATTTGATCTTAACTTCTGCGGTAGGAAACCTACCAGTGGAAATTACTCACAAATTGTAATCTTCCATGTTTAGCCCTAGCTTAGCAACTTTCTCTGTCAGCAAAAAAGGACAGACTTTGAAAGAACTACTAAGAGGAAAATATGCTTGTTTAGACTTCAGCATGGGATCAACCTTTCTTTGATCCCTAGAGTGGAATAGTGGATTCTCATTCCTATGGAATTTGTAAAGCTAAATGAGTGTACTTGCTAATTGGTATTTTTCATCTAACAAGAGAAGTATTTAGTTTCAGATGTTGATTAAAGCAGAAGATGAGTGATGCTACTACATTCTTCAGTGTCAATGAAATGTGAGGAAAACTATGTTAGCTCAAGCCAACATACTTCCATTACATTTTTGGGCTTAACCCAAAAAATGATGGTTATTTTTTCTCCATTTTCTACATTAATAAAAAATGTGTGCCTTCCTTTTAATGTTTCTCTTCTTGCTTTGATGAGTAATACTGCTTCCCACTGAACAAAGTCCACAGGAAAATGTAAAAATACATATATTTGTTCATATTATTTTAACAGACCCCTCAGCAGAAAGAGGAGATTGTAGTGAGAAGCAGTGTATGACTGGATTTTGCAGATCCAACCCAGCACTCGGGGCTGCGAGTGAAGCTGCTGTATTGGCTTCAAGGACACTGTGGATCACATTATGTGCTTACAGGAAAAGCAGAAAAGGGCTGGGTAGAAGCCTTATATATGAGATAATCATGATGGCAGAATAAACCCACAGCTGATCTGTCTTAAACAATATCCAAAACACTAAGCCACAACATGCTTTTCAGAAGACAAAGGTCTTTCAATCTCCAGCTTGTCCTGGAGGGAGGAGGGAAGGGGGAAAGGCACAAGCTGCCAGGTGCTGAGTGTCCCATTACCAAGCTAAAGGGATCACAGCAATTACATTTGCTTCACTAGCCCAGCAGGAGAGTAGAAGAGGACATCCTGGCTCATGCAGATTCCGCAGTAACCAGGCACCTTGCCAAGAAAAAAATCAGGAAATAGCAGTGATCAGGAGATACATCTCATTAGTAGAGACAAGGCCAAGAGAAACAAAGTACAACACCGGTGGCTTTGGGTACTGGCAGAGCAGTATCTCAAGACAAATAAATGTTCAATATCAACATACACATCCCACATAGCTCCCTCTGCTATGGAGGGGCTGAGTCTGCGTTCTGGTAGGACTATTTCCCAGCTGGCGTTCTTCAGCAATTTCCTTCCCTTTTTTATTCTGGGTTATTTATCTTATATTCTAAAGTAGAATAAGAAGAGTGAAAATTCAGTTAAAAAAAAAGGAAGCTCCGTCTTCTTTCAAATGATCATTTAGTTAAATGGAATTTATATAAAATATTTCAAGATGAAACACACTAGTTGAAAAGAAAAAATCTGACACAAAGACACTCAGATGTTCAGTAGCAGTTTATACTTATCTGAATGACCCAGAGTGTATGAAACTTATATGGGAACAAGTGGGTGACATTTACTTTAGTTCATCTCCTGCTGGGAGAAAGAAAAAAGGATAGCTGTACTCCCACACAGAAATCTCTTTCAAGTTGTTAGCCTCATAGTAAAGATTTAGCTGGAAGGAAAGTGTGTGTCAGAGGCAAGGCAAAAGATTATCACTTACAAAAATATATCCCCAAAACAGTATAGTGACCTGATGACATCTGCAACTAAATGTGCATCAGCCACAGAAAATTTTACTCCAGATGAGATTTCAGCTCTGTGAAATGTGAGGCTTAGCACGGTGCTGGATGCCAACAGTGCATAGCCTCAAAGCTGGAAGACCTCCTGAAGGTAACCAGACTGGCATACACACAGATGACATCTTTCACCTCTTCTGCTGTCTGCAATATGTGAAGCCTAAAAGATATGGATTGTTTCAAAGTGTTTAAGAAACAAGTTTAGAAGCTTGAAGATCAACCAACATTCATTATAACAGAAACAGAAGAGATTCTGAAAGATGAGAAATCTTTCTCAACAGATGTATGAAAGGGATGTCATGATTATCTGACAACATGATTGAATCAGTGGCTATAAGAATTGGGGATGACAATCAGGATATTGTGAAGGATTTCCACTGAAAGCTGAATTTCATTAAACTGGGACATTTTGCTCATTTTCCACAGGGCACATCAAGAAAAATAAAACAACCACACACATAAAGGCTGGTTGTATCTTATACTGATAGAAATCCCTATACCGTACCGGGGACAGTATATTCAACTATGGAATAACATGGGTCAATAAAAGGCAACTGTGATAAACTTCTAACACAAAACTAACAGGTTTTGGAAAATCCTCAGTATTCATGTGAATTAATCTGTTTAGGAATAAAGGTTTCTAGCATCCTAGGTTTCAGAACAATGAGCCCCAGGTCTTCCAGATTCCTTACTGCAGAAGCAGGTATTGAAACAGCCATAGAATTTCGCACAAGGTCCAGAAATACTTAATCTTATTTAATTCAATTATTTTGAACATTTGAATTTCTACCAAATACAACTTTTCACAGTTTCTGCTACATGGAAAATGCTGATGCAATAATGTCTTAATTTGGTAAAATATAGTTCCAAAATATGGCTATTTCCCATTAAGTGGAAACTTAAGGTTCTAAGTACTCCGTTCAAAAACTGCAAATCTTCCTATATTAACTTATTTCCACTTATCTTAAGATCAGAACACTATATGATGAAGTAAACCATATGTAAAAAGCACACATTTACTTTCCTAAATTACTTTCCTCAAAAGTGAACAAAGGGAAATTCTAGCCAAGATTTTCAAGCATGGATGCTTAAGTATAGGTTCTTAAGCCTAAATATAGGAGTTTGAATGAATGCCCTCATTTTCAAAATTGCTGAGGTCCTATAAAGTTAGGAAAATGAAAAGATGACAATTTTTTAAAAGTCAGGCCATGAATTTAGAAGTCTATTCCAAGGTACCCATTTCTCTACATTTTTTCTTATCATGATGTCTTATTCTTGCATTTCAAAACCTCTTATTCTTCATCAGATTTATGATCTGCTTGCTCAAGCATTTGTGGCTCTTTCTTTTCAAATAGCCACTGCCATAGAGTTAAATACAGAAATCTACAATTGAGAAAGGGAGTAGTGAACCAAAGCTCACTCTTCCCTTCTGCACTATTCCACAGCTCAATTGTTAGTAATTCAAAAGGCAGCTCCTTGGCTGCTTGGTTACACAGTTCTCTCTCTGAAACAGAGAAATTTTATTTTCTAAGAATACAAAAAGGTCAGTAGTCCAGGGGGTTTATTTCCAAAACCTATACTTTATTAAGGGAAGCACAACAAGGTAATACCTCTTATATCTCTAACAAATGGTTACAAGAACTTCAAACAGGAATTATAAAAGGCAGTTTGGGAAACTTTTTCTCCTAATGCCCATATGACAATCCCGCTCTCATATGAGAAAAATTTTAATGTGAAAATCTTCAAGATGTTTTTATACCACTTCACACCCAGTATTGATGAAAATGCTCCCCAAACTATTGGAGAGAGACTAAATACACACTTGCTGCATCACTCATGGATCTTCTTGTTTAGTGTTTACTTACAGAACTTCTTTGAGAAGTACTAAGAGTAAATCATGAGCAGATTTTTTTAAACATTGCTTTCTCCATTATGCTTCTATTGTTAGGACAGCTAGAAAAAACAAAAAGTGTGTATTGTTGATGCATTCATATGGATCAGAGAAACCAGGCCACACTTTATGTGTTTTGCCAGAATAACCTCACACAAAATAGACTGACACATTAGAAAAGTTGGAAACACTGTCAGAGGCTTTGAATTCTCAAATTAACTCCATTAAGGCAAAGTGGTCTCAATGGAATATAGCCATTAGATTATATAAGCTTTAATTATCAGCCAGTGTTGACTTGTGACTTTTACTTGGAAATTACATGTCATCCTTTTAATTTAATTTAGATTTTCATTTGCTTTGTCTTATTCTACTTGTTCTGAGAAAAAAAAAAAAAAAGAGTTCATTATTCTTACAGCATTCTGTAACACAGCTTCATATCCTTATCTTAAAAATGCTCAGACATACACTTTAAGGTTAGAAGCAGCCTTCTTAAAGCAGAGGGGCAACTTCATATTAAAAAGCATTTGTCTGGCTGTCTGGTTTTGTTTACATTTCTTCCAAAGCCCCCACACTCCTATGCCACTACTGCTGTAGTATAAATGGAGAGTTCAGCCAAAGAAGTAAATGCAGAGTCTCCTATGAAGAAGAGGGGAAGTTAATTGTTTACAGATTGTCAGGCTGACCTAACTGCCAGAAACATGCTATAATTGTGTAAGTTTGTTTTTTATTTTGCTTCCAAATGAAACATAGTGTTAGGCACGTCTTTGAAAAAGGACACATTAAAAACCATTTTAGCTCTTACTCAAGTTAAGACTTACCCGAACCGAGAAATTATCTTTTTAACATGTAACTAGGATTGTGGGCTGTTTCTGTAGCACTCTAGGATTTGCAATTTTTAGAAATGGAGTAAAACATTGAAAAAATCACCAATATAACTTGGACCAATAGTTGCAAAAGATTCAAGGAACATTATCAACCACAGAAAACTGCTTCAATTTTGAAAAAGAAATGCAGGTGCTTTTTAGCTTACCACTATAATCACTGTTTCCAAAAGTATTTGCATTTCCTTTTGCCTATTTGACCCAATATAATACATTTTTAGTGTTTAGTCTTTTGGTTTGGAACAACTAAAGTGAGGCTGCTCTAAGGACATGGTGATATGCTTGTGTTAAATTCAGATATTTTTTTTTTACCCCTGCAATGGCTTTATAAAATCTGTCATAATTGGGAACTGGATGTGCAAGAAAGGAAAGTGGCAAAGTTGCAGAGTAGGACTGAGTATTCATTCTACCAGCCTCCCTCTGTGCAGTGCTGCCAATGCATATTTATCAGACTGCAAGCCCTGCACTATCCCAGCTCTGCTGAGTCTCCTCCTGAGAACAGACTGTCAGTTATGTCAAACTGGGTGTTAAAAGCTGCTGGATTTTGTGGCTGGAGCATACATTTTTGAAAGACAAAACTGGAATCAAGCTCCTTTATCACTGGGAATGAAACACATTTCTGAATTATGGTGTTCTTATGTGGAATCAATCACACTACCCCTTTCCTCTCCTTTTCCCACTCTGGAATCTGAAGATAGATGTGGTTTCTCAAATGGTCTGAACAAGTAGCTTGCCTAAGTCTCATAATATATATGGTATGACTCAAATCTTGGTGTTTTAGGCCTGTGGAGAGCTGAAATGTTCAATATGCAGGATTTGCTGTACATTCCTGCAAGAGAGGAGAGACAGCACACTCCATCTATAGAAAATCCTGTAGCTTTTATCCTTAATGACCCAGCACTCCTGCTATTTTGAGTCTCTATTTAGTACTCTAGCTAAAGTTGGGGGTATAACAAATATGTTAATGCTCCCTGGGATTAGACTGACATGGCCTCCTTTTCTCAGAGCTTTTCTATTAGAGAAGTAGAGATTTCCTATGGAAGTAGGGAATTTAGATATATAGGTTTGTATCAAAATGCATGCTAACACATTACTAACCTGTACAGAAATGCCAAATTACTTAAATAATAACCTGTACAGAAATGCCAAAAGAAGGACATGACATCTTCATGAATTCCAGATAGATTCAGTGACATCAGTGTCTTACAACAAACACCAACTGAGGTGCAGGAAGACAGGTGAGGACATTAAGCCTGGTCGCTTTGAGGGGTCAGTTGTTTCATCAGTAGATTGAATTCAGGGTGTGTCGAAGGAAAAACAAAATCTCTATGACAATAAGCTTGGCAGCATATTTTTTCTGTTCTTGCAAAACTGTTAAAATTGAATGTGGTGATACTGGAAATGAAGGACCAGTAGCCTAACTTACAGATTAGGATAACAAACTTCTTGTTAAGCAAACTTCTCCATTGGAAGCATATAGATCTTTCAAACAATGGCTTTTTGGACAATGCCAGCTAGCATGTACCCCCTGGTGCATATTTAGGATTAGAAGAAGGGACATCTCCATGCCTGTTCTCACTGACGACCCTCAAGTCAGAGGTAAACTTGATGCTGACATCATGAAGCACTGACTACCTGAACCAACCACTTCCAACTCTCCTAATTCAATCCTCCTAAATGCACTATCATGACCTGTCTTCATTCTTCATTCCTATAACTAAACAGATCATACCGACCAAAAGACGCCTTTGCAATCATCACCATTTCTGAATTGCATAGTGGTCTCCCCAATAACATCATTTGCACATGGCAACCAAAGCAAAGAAACTTAGTTCTAAATCAATATTCAGCTTAATTTGTTGTTTCTTTTTGCTTATTCTGCATCCTTCTACAGAACTGCCATTCCAAAGATAAAGATCCAAGAAAGGAGTGCTACTGAAGCATGGCCATGGAGTCATAGCATCAACTGATGCTTAAGAAGTCTGTGTTTTCTAGAAGATAAAGAAATGTCTGTCTTTGTCTCTTTTCTGAGAATATCTTCTCTTTCTAGCAAACAATTTAATACCTAGTGAGAAACCCTAGTTCTAGGCAGGAATGGACTTAGACTTGTCTTTAAGTATGTTCTGAGCAAACAAGGGAGATAGGTTATCTGGAATGTGCTCAGGTTTCATTAGCTATACTGGACTTTATCTTGACCACCTCTGCTGAGTTCAACAAATCCTTTTACATGAGCAGCAGTGCAAGCCAAAACCAGTATGTTGTTGACAGAGGCAGAATCCATCAGACTTAGAAATACCAATATTAATTACCTTTTTTTTGTTTTAACATTTTAATTTTTATTATTTAATAATTTAATTACATGACAGTATTATTTATAAATTTGCTAATTGCTCAGAGGAGTGCCTTAAGTGAAACAGGGACATTTCCTTTAAAGAACAGAGAGAGGTTGTTTAAACCTTTGAGCTGTGAGATGCCTATTATTTACAGAACATTTGGAAACAGAGAGATTAAAGTCTTCTCAAAATGGATGCAAGTATTAGAATAGACAAACAGGGAGAAGCTTACCAATAGGATAACTAGTGTCACCAGAAAAATATGATTTTCCATTAAATCCCTTAGAAACAACAAAAAAAAAAAACAAAACCTCCCCATATCCTTGCAATATAAACCCAGTTTACACTGAACAATTCAAACTTCTAATTGGAAATAGATATAGTTTTACCATTTACCAGAATTTTAATGTTTAGTAAAATCCCCCAAAGAGAATGACATGGATATTTACTGTATTTTTGCTTTGTTGTGTTTTTTAGCATTGTTCTTCTGGTGCTACCCCCATCTAACATGAACATGCTACTTCCCAAAAGACTTCCAAAGATTGTGTGTTGATAATGGAAGCTGCTCTCCTATTTTGATTAAACAATACTTGTGGAGTTTTTTTTCATACTGGAGAAGGTGAGCATTTATATTATTTTAGGAAGCTTACCAAAAAAGACAAAATGGTGTACTAAAAAAATTGTCAGGGAGTGACTACTAAGGCTTCCAGCAGGAAACTGGAGGCAAATATAAGGAGTAAAGTGTGGGAGTGGAATGCCCCACTCATGATAGACACAAGAAGATATTACCACATGACATGAACAAAAGTAATTCACTCTTGCCCAAAACTGTCTTTCAAAAAAAAAAGCAGCATATTGAAACTACCTCCCTCAAGAAGTTGTTTGTACTGCAAGCACATTTTACTAGTCTATTTATCCTGTTCAAATCAAACAGTCTGATCACTTCCCCAATTTTAATCCACTTTTGGCAACATTGTGGGAAAGCATTTCTGAGAGAATTTCTAAACTGGACAATGGATACACACATATGCCCACACAGAGTTTAATGTGAATTCTCTTTTTCCGGAGTTGCTGTCTATTAAAGGAATTGGTTATTTTGTTTTCATTGTACATTTATGCCTCCCAGCTTTGGGAGCTAACTGTGCTAAAACCAGGCTGCAAAACCTTCTGTGGGACTGTCAGCAGCCATTCCAAAGCCAGAATAAAGCACCTGAATTTAATGAAATAGTGTATATACTGACTGTAACAGCAGGTTTACTTCAAAAACAAATATCAAAATTGGAATCTGGGACAGTTAAGCAACCAATGTGAATTTATCATCTACACCTGTGCCATAAACTGATACCAGAAATAGGCTAAATGAATACAACACTGTTATTACCATTATCACTATTTTACAACATTCAGGAGTGTGTAGATGCTTTACAGTGAAGATAGATACAATCCCTATTCCCACAATGCAACAGGAGCAGCAGGTGGATCTCTGATCCCTCTTACTCACTGCAGAAAATCTTCAAGCAGGTGAAATCTATTTGAGATGATCATGAATTAAATGTTTCATTCCTTAAAAAGAGAAAGGAACCAGGGAAGGGAATCTGACCTTCTTTTGAAGTAACATAGTAAACCTACAAAAAGCTCACATAGTAATAATCAGATACACAATATACAGGAAAAGAAAACTTCCTTTACCTGTGAAATAAGACAGACTTGACGAGTGTGACAACATCCCGACTGGCATTGTACCCTGCACAGACAATGGCAACGTGGATAGTCTGTGAGAGAAAAGGAACAAAAAGAACAAAATTAAAGCCTGCTCCTGTGCTTGTCACTTGTTAAGGAGAGCACACACATGACACTGCTGTTGTTCAGTGCTGCAATTGTTAGGGATTTGAGTGGGTGTTTTGCAGCTGTTTGCAGCCCACTTGAGGCAGTTTGCTAAAAACATCTTAATTGAGTTATAGCACCATCATCATTCCAAAGTCATTACTACCACTACATTACATCAGATGTTTGAGTAGAATTGCATTTATTAGCTAAGACACATGTGTGCATGTATGTACACACACCCTCCCCAAGTAAGCAGCACACAACATCCTGAGTGTGCAAACATACAGATATTTTTAATCTCCTGAACTAAAGTTTAAAATTGTGTCTGATAATTAGAAGCAGGTATGATCTCAGAAGTTTTGAATTATTTCTGTCTTATGCACAGCCCCTATGGAGAGGGTGAGCAAGCTCTCATGGATGAAAGTGACTGTGACCATTGGTTTGCCAGGGCTGGATGCATCCCAGTGATGCGATGGGACTCAGGCTGCGACTACCAGCATGGGCTGTTCTGGCAGCATTAATGCCCCACAAACACATTCTCTCCACCTCATGACACTGGTAAATTATCATTTATTCTGTGCTTTTTTACCTCCCTTTTAACATGAGGCAGAGGTTTCCTCATCTCTTCAGGAGGAAAGGGAAAATTGAAAAGGCGCTACGAGTCATTATTTAGCAGTAAGTACTAATCTGAAAAATGCTATCACATTACTCTGCTATGCTTTTAAAAAGTAGACATTTCTGCTCCCTAGGGACAAAAAAAAATTAATCCTACCAAGATTTGACTCCAGGTTCTGTGATCTTCTGTTTCTTAGTGGTCACAGAAATGAAGCAGAGTTCACCATGCTGTCAGCACAAAGCTGCCATTGGAGACACAGCTGTGAAACTGCAGGGAAGCCTCATTTGGCTTCCATTTGAAGCTTGGTTAGCTGGTTTCTCACACACACAGCTCTCATTTTCCACAGAATGCCCACTATGCTGAGAACAAATGAGGAATTCTGTCTCCTCACGTAGCCACAGATACCCAAAGCCTGGCTTGTAACAGAAGCACATTTACACAAGAAGTGCCATGTGCTGGGCACATCTGAAGAGCCCACAGCCCCATCCATTAAGATCCCCTGGTACAAGGCACAATTTGAATCATACAAGTGCCAAGTGGCTGTGCCACAGTGGAACATCCACATGAACATCACAGCTCCCTCCAGCCCTGCTGTGCTTGACAAGCTCAGGCATATTTAAGATCTGATGTTTTAAGAGGACTTGAATTAATAAGACAACTGTCTGTCCAGAGAGGTGTGAGAAGGAATGTACTGTAGTACATTTTGGCAGCCACTCTGTGAGGTATTAGCACTTTATGTTAAAGTCAATGGGAGCCGAGCATGCTCAACACTTGGCAAAAATTGATTGTGTTCCTCTCTTGTGATAAGAGGGGAGAACAGAGACTGCTTATTAATGACTTTTATTACAGCAGGAGTCTGTAATGTACTCATTGGCATGGGTTGCTGTGGGTGCACTGATTCCTGATCCTACATGAACTGCCTCCTCTCTCATTGTCACCTGGTTCCCCTCCCAGGCTTCTGGAAGACCTAAAATCCTTCCCCTCAGTGCCAGTTAAAATCAAATTAACTGACAACAGTTTCACCCTTGCTTTAAACATTTCACCTGAAAGTACTAGACCAGAAACAAACATTTTAGGGGTTTCCACAGAATAGCACTGTCATATACAGTCATCATTGTTTTATACCACCTACACTTACCAGAAAAGCTCTCCTCAAAGCCACTCTCTCTACCTTACAACTTCCCTCCAAATCAGAATTTATTCTGTCAAGTTCTTGCCCACATCTGTTGTCCTTTTATAAATCAGTTTGTTTCAGAATTGAAAGCATGCATTCCTTGCTGTCTTCTGGTAGCTGCTGTTGCCTTGGATGCTGCTTCAGCCAGGACACAGTGAGAGCAGCACACTACACTTTTGAATGCTCTCTTCCAGCACAGAGACACAAGCATCCATGTACCTTCTGCTCAGCCTCTCTGTGGTGTTTGATATTACATATCACTTCTATTCCTGCCTGCAATCAGTTAAACAACAGAGCAATAATCCTCAAAGAGAAGAGAAATCAAGACCTTTTCTTTCCAAGTTTTTTTTCCTGCAGCATGCTTCAAGGCTCAGTCTATTCCTCTCCTTTCCTTGATCAACTTTCCTCTCTCTTGTTGTTTAACTGTTAAACAAAGTCAGTGGAAAAACAGATAAGTCAAATGAAGTTATCAGCCGGAACTGCCTGCAGATGTTTGCATCCCAAGGGGAAAAACATTATTTCCAGTTTTCTCCACTCTTGTTCCAAATGCATGTTTGGATTGGGAGCAGCTGGCTGTACCCAGATTCTGGCAAGATATGGCTGTAATAAGCACTTGAAAGAACTTGCACCCTCCTGAGCATACTACTGTAAGCATCACCTCTCAGATTTTGAAAATTGACACTTCTCCCAAACTCCTTTTATCCATCAGCAGATGGCTGGAAGAGTGTATCCCCCATCCCACCAGAGCTGGCCACTGTGATTCACACAACCTCCAGACCCAATGACTGCAGCTAACACCAAGGACTAAAGCCACAGGACCAAAGAATGCTCCAACTTCCACTGCAAGTGTCAGCCTGCCTGTTTGGCTCAACATGTCCCACCAAACTTCTCACACAAGGCTCTGCATGTTACACTTGCTCCTTTACTGTTGGCATTCCATGGCAGTTTTAGATAACACTAGTTACACTCTAGCCTGGATATCTCAAAATCACTGCAGGACCAAACTGACCATTCAAAGTGTCCATCTTCCTACAATGCTCTCTTCAAAGTGAGTGATGGATGTGCTCACCATTTGCTGCAGCAGTTTGGACTCAGGTCATTCACTGGAGATGCTTTTGGATAATGTAACTCACTGCAGCAACAAATGAAATGATGATACGCCTGATGATACAGAGTCAATGAATTCTTCCTCTGTTTATACACAGAGATATGAAGAGGTAATCAAAACACTGTGGAAGTGCATCACAACATTCTCCCTACAGGCTGAGGATCAGGGACATCAACTGAACTATTTTTAATTGTAAATAGTTTAGGAAGCACTCAGGCGTAGGTGCTTCAAGGTACTTAAGGAAGCTAAGCTTCTTTAGGAAAGGGAGTTTAAGTCATAGCAAGGTATATGCTAATGTAGCTCAAAACTCTTACCTCAGCCACTACACACCAGGAAAAGCCTGCCTCTAAATGCAGTACTTCATGTTCTGGCATAATATTAATGTGAAGAAAATATCCAAAACCCAGTTCTTCTACATGAAGAACTGGGCCCCAGATCCATACTGATGAGGAGTATACAGTGCCTAGATAAGCATGCATAACTATTTTTTCTCCTTGGGCTACTTTTTGGAATGTTGAAATAATGAGTTTAAAAAACCTGTATTAGTCCTTTTAGTTAAAAATAATCTTTGGTAAGACATTTCATACCTCAATAATTTTCCAGTAGACTTTCCATTGTAGATATTTAATCCTTCATAAATAACTGTTGAATGTGATTAAGAGATATTACAAGTATGTTACAAAATACTTGTGTTTGTTTCCAGGGTTTTTTTTCCCCAGTGGCAGACAAAATCTGCTTTACATGTGTTACACTGCTGATGTTCGTGAGGATCTGTTTTTGATGGCTGTGGAGCACTACACACTTAACCCTACTGAACAATACTGCTGAGAACAGGAACAATACAAATATGCCTCTAAAATGCTTCAAATGTTAAGTATCTTGCTAAGCCATTAAATGCCATACTGCTAATTATCAATTTCCTAATATATAACATCTTTCAAAAATATTTATAAATACACAATTCAAGTAAATGCTCAGTTTAGGGATGCACAAGCTGGAAAGACAGTGGGATAACACTGTAAGGAAAAGGCATACAATTCTGTTAACTTCCACTGGCATTATGCTCTCCTTCTGAAGCCTGCTGTTACTTCTGACATCTGTGTAAGGACTATGCTTACTCATATTTCCAAGGTTTGTGTTCAAATGGTCTGCTCCTGGGAAGGCATGATGGGCATCTGCTCGCTCAAGGGAGAAGTCCCTTGTCTGGGGGTCTGATATTTTTTTGCAGTATAATGCTGGTCCATTTTAAAGTATCAGAAGAACTCTCCTGTGATGCAAGAGTTGAAAGCTGTGGCTGGAATGCAACAAAACCACAGCTATTTGATATAGATCACAATTAACATCACATAGATGATGCTTTATCAGAGATTTAATGTTCATTCATTGTAACTGCATTTTCAAATGTTTTAATCACCATTAAAGACCTTCCCAAATTAGATTGTGAAATGTTATCACCAGTAAATCTCTAAGAACAGACTCAATGAAATGAACAACCCATTCCTGGCACTCATAGTCTCCACCAGAGCAAGAGTCTTCTTCCTAAGAAACTTTGTTTTTCACTACCCAATTTGTCAACTCTTGCTGTGATCTATTCCAGGGTCAGAACCTAAAAAACCCCTTTGTTTACACATCTAAAACACAGAAAAGAACCAGAGAATGAATGGCATCAAGATTCCCCTCACACAAACAAGACAAGAATCTACACTAACAGGATAAATGATGAGACCCTTGGCAAATCTGGCAATAGGGAAGTTTCATTTTCACTTCCATTGCTGTAACTGAGTTACTGACTGAATTCCTTAAGAGAAGAGTAAGAAGTTGAGATCAAAATACCATGCAGTGAAATAGGGGGATGGCAAATAATGTGAGATTTCATATTTTATATAAGCATTGCCTCCAGCAGAGTGCTAAACCCCACTGAGCAAGCAAACTCATTGGCAAAACACATTACAAACTCTAAGGCCACTTAAACTATACCTACTTTAAGCTACTGTTTTTGTGTCCTAGATTGGTTAGTACATTGAACAACCAAGAACTGAGATTCAGCTCATCACTCCTTAATATAATGATAAGGGAAAAGTGAGGTTTGCTGATTGATGGTCTGATTAAAAGAAATGCCAAAAATCTCACACTGAGGAAATCAGGCCCTCATTATGTGGAGGAGGGAAAATGAAAAACAAAAACCTCCTCTTCCCTCTCCTTACAATAACATTGTTTCCTTTTTTCTACACTGTTGGACAAAGATATCCAACTGGAAAGCAGCAGTTCATTTTCAAACTGTGTTTGATATTTTCTCATTGAACAGAATTTATATTAAGTTAGGATTTCTTTTTCCTTTTGCACCAATTTTCTTTCAACTTTTATCTTCCAAGTGGCAGCAAGCAAGACAGAAGGTGATATGGTATTACCCTCTTTGTAGAAATAAACGGAGGAAGTAATTTTTGATAACTTTATCAGCTGAGATTGGCACAAGGCCTTTAAGCGAGACTTTCTGTTTTGGATCTATTCATATTTGGACCTGTCATCATTCAGACATCTCACAACTAAGTATCTGGATGACATCCACAGAAGCACTGCCATAAAATGGGGGAAACCAAACCAGACCAACCACACCAAAACAGTCTCAGAAGCAGATTGCCTGTTCCTGCAGCCAAGCACAGCACAAGTGCACGGCTCACACAAAGCACCTGCTCCCACAGCAACATCCAGATACACTCCTCAAAGTGAGTCAAAAGCACAGGCTGGCTCCATGAACCACAATTTAATTAATCATGAACCCTGAACTGTTTCAATATAGGCACAGAAACAAAGAAATAAGGCTTTTCTAAGCACTCTGGAGTCATTATTATTTAAAATACACAGGGTCAGTTCGCCACAGGTCTCTATCTGCAGAGCTGTAGCGAAGTCAGCTAGAAGCAAGGCTTTGATTTTTATATCAGGTTCGGGGACACAAGAACGAAAAAGACAAAACGCTGTGATGAAATAATAACTCAGAAGATATTCTGATGACAAATGCATTAAAGGCTTTTTTAAAAAGAATAATAAAAAATTATCCGAAAAGTTGCATGCAGCAGACTTTAAGACACTGGTTTTGGAGGAAAATGTTTCAGAGGAAGGAAATGGGGATCTGCAATGTCCTTAAGGGACCACATCTACCAAGCTTTGCTTCTGGCACGTTCCTTTGGCATATTTACCTCACACTTCTCCACCACGGGCTGCTGGCCGCACTCGGAGCTGTTCCCCGCCACGATGCCAGCCCGCAGGCTCTCGCTGTCGCCCGTGCCCTCCTCCATGGAGTAGGTCTTGGAGTGGTTGGTGCGGCGGTGCGCGGGGCCCCGGGCCTGGGCCAGGCTGAGCTGCTTGCGCAGCGCGCGGTTCTCCTCCTCCACCTCCCGCACGCGCACCTCCAGGCTCGACGCCGTGTACCGAGGGCTGTGCGGCTGCGACTCCAGCGGGGACAGCGACACCGGCTTCCCATCTGCACCGCAAGGAAACAGAGCATTCTGTCAGAACACGCCAGCTGCATCTTCCTCTAACGTTGGTGTTGTGAGGCAGAGATGCGCTTCACATACAGCTGTGTTTTATGCACACTTGGCACTCCCAAGCCACGCTTAAGTGCACGGTAAACTTGGACAAATGCTGAATTCTACGAGCTACAGGTCCTACTAATTTTCAAATCACACCAAAAGATAAGCATGTGTTTCTTTGTTCTCATAGGGCTGCCTGCCAGTCTCTAGTCGGGGAAGACAGTCAAGAACATTAGGATTTAATTCAAAGGCAATTAATATACAGTTAAATATATTTTAGAAATGTATGCAAGATGAAATAATTTTGCTATTCCCACTTCCTCCGCAGTCAAATGACAGCATTTTGGCAACCATTTTGTGCCAAACAGTAGCCCCAGCTGATTCACATGTGTGGAACAGATGGGTTTTATTCAGCAACATAGTATTATGTGCTTGCTGAAAAATAAGAGGTTCAAGGCAAAAATGTTCAATACACATGTGGCCCAAATTCTGGAAAGTATTCTGGCTTAAAAAGACTCACTGGAATTTTCAAAAAAAAAATTAAAAAGGTTCAATTCAACACCTTCAAGTAAAGTGTCTCAAAAATGTTTAATGAAAATCAAATTGAAGCAAAGCAAAACACAATGAGAGTTATCCACAGTGTCACAATTAGGAAGAAATTCCTTTGCAGTGATGATACGTGTCTTACACTAAAGTATTTCACTGATGTAACTTTCTACTTGCATGTATTAAATCACAAAATTATAGAACTGTAAGGTTGAAAAAATCTCTAAGGTCAATGAGTCCAACTGCTAATCCAGCACCAACATGTTCACCATTAAACCATGCCCATATCCACATACACATTTTTTGAACACTTCCAGGGATTGTGCTTTTACCATTTGCCTGAACAGCCTATTCCAATGCCTGACCGTTAGGTCATTTTTTCCTAACATTCAACAAAATCTTCTGTGACACAACTTGAAGTCATTTCATCTCATCCTGCCACTTGTTGCCTGTAAGAAGAGGACAACCCTCACCTGGCTACACTCTCATTTAAGGCAGTTTTAGAGAGCAAAAGGTCTCCCCTGAGCCTCCATTTCTCCAGGGTAAGCTCCTCCAGCTCCCTCAGTTTCTCCTCGTGGGACTTGTGCTCCAGACCCTTCCCCAGCTACACAGCTCTTCTCTGGATATGCTCCAGCACCTCAATACCCAGAACTGAAAGCAGGATTCAAGGTGTGACCTCATCAGTGCCAAGTACAGGGACACAACTGCTATTTAATGATTTTTCCAGCGCATACAGTCTCATTGGTTTTATCAAACAAGTAACAGCCTGAGTGGTGTATAAAATGGAAACCATGCAGTTATTGTTTATAAATTCTCCCTAAAAAGTATATTTTTCACCTACCGACTCAAAACTATCTCCCTACTATAAAGACCTGTTCATTGTTGTTCTTTTTCATTGTTTCACATTAACATGAATGATGAGCAGTCCTCTGAGTTGACTTCATGAAAAAACTGGTATGGAAATCAAATCCTCAATTCTAATTCACATTGTTGAGTTATAGAGGTATACACACTTCCTGTTATGTATATAAATCATTATCTTGATTTTCATCATCATCGGGATAGAATATCTTGCATTTCTTGCAGGCTATCTTCTACAAAAATATTGTAATTTATTAATTTATCATTAGGAACGGTTATGGATAAATCTGAGACTGAAAAACGTCTCAAGACAAATTCTGGAGTTTCACCACTGACATGTTGAAACTTGAATGCTCCAGCAAATAGTTAATTCAAAATTTAATGAGATATTTGATAAGTCTGAAAATAATGGGTGCATCAACAGAGAAATGTCAACATAAAGAATACAGCCATGCTACAATTAGACATGCAATAGAATACTGAGTTAACTTTCCCCAGCAAGCTTGGAGGGCCTGGAACTGAAATTGTGTTATTTCTCAGCTGCTGATACTCAAATTAAGGAAACTAAGGCTCATTTGGTTGTGATTCTATTGCATCCCCATTACTGGGCAGCAAGAGTGTATTCTGTAGACACTCTCAGATAAAAAGAAAAACAGCACCTTTTCTCACCCACAGAACAACCAACCTGTGTTATCATCAGATACACAACTACACTGCAAATCTAGCCAGCCAAGGACTTCACTGGCTATCTTAACTCCTCACTTGGTGAACATCCAGCCAACACAGATACTAACTCATTGCTTCCTGCCTTTGTCACTGAATTCTGCTAGCTTCAAATAATTACCAGAAAAGGCAGCAAGGTATGGAAGTGAATCTCAGAACAACATTCATCAACATTTCAAAATATGGGAAAAAATTAAATATATATTTACCTATTCTACAGACATAAATCATTAGATCATAAATGCTGCTTTTCCAAAATTAAAACTTTTAAAATTTTTATCTTTTAGAAAAGGATACCATTTTGTACATTTGAACAATTGCAGATACAGTGATCAGAAAAGTTCAACTGTTTCTACACAGTATTTTGAAGAAATAGCATAGCCTGAGAAAGGGACTGAAAGAAAATATCTCCTTGCTGCCTCAGACTGAAGTTGCAGCAGCTATGAGGCCAGCCCAGTGTTTATGCAGCCTTGGCTTTAAGCGCCAGTAACTCCACTACTTTTCTCTCAGTAGCAAATATTTCTGCTTGTATGTAAAAGGAGTAAGGAAATCCTCTCAGGAATTAGCTAGCTAGACTCTTCATCTGAAATGTACAACTAGTTGAAATGCACTGATTTACTACATAAATTATCTATGTTTTATTACAAGTTGCTAAGTCCAAGATATTTTCTGAAATTATCTCTTCTGAGTTCGTACAGCTGGACAAGTCATGTTTTGTTATTAATACTGCTCAGGTCTATCATGTACTAGGTATATTTTCACATCCTAGCTCTCTGCTGCAAAAGACAACATGACAATTCCAGGACCCATGTGAAATAAAATTATAAAACCAAAAGTGAACAGAGTTTGATCTTAATACTCAGAAATAAAATAATATTTTTAATAAATTCAGAGATCGCATAACTCATAATTTTTGCACATCTGAGGCTGGCAAGGCTGATGGAAAGATACTATTTGATTTAGTTCTGTGTGTTTCATCTCATCTCTGAAGAAGGAGTAAGTGGATTAATGTTAGGAACCACTGACGTTTGATTGCGTGTGTTGCTTGGTAGAAGAGTTAAACTGATAGCACTGCACTTCAATTTTATAGTTTTTAGTAACTGGCAGAATGCTCTGAGCTGATGTCTAGGCACTTTTTATCTAATCTAAATCAAAATAAAATAACATAACACATAACGAGGTCTGTGTGACTTTGGGACTGAAGATGTCCCAGGGTGCACTACAAGGAACACTACTGTGCTCTGAAGCAAGTAGTGTACTTTTGAATGGTGTAATAAATAATAATACAGCTATTATTTTTATTATTCATTTGGGGTTATTGCTCTATTTTTGAACTTTGGCAGTTTCAGTTTTCAACTTCAGTTGTTTTTTTTCCTGTGTCAAGCCTTTAACTTCAGACTTGTGCTAATGCAACAATACCTACAAAGACCTGCAAAATTCCACTGTCAACAAAACAAACCCAAACACAAAGTGAGTAATTATTTCATGGTTGACAGCAGTCAATGACTTATTCTCACACTAGGTCCAACAGTTCAGAAAACTTGACAATATGTAAGTTGTGAATTCTATGGATTATTGAATCTTTCTACATATAGGAAATCACTTGAATTTAAGGTAACAGATTTCATTTAATACTAACTTAAGCAGAATGCCTAGGACACTGGACAAAATAAAGCAATCAGAAAGCAATCCAGCAAAATTAATTTGAAAGGAGAAGGACTGAACCGGTGGCATTTTCTTTCTTACATACAGAACTTAAAGGACAGGCATTAAAGCCAAGTTCGTTTTGTAGTTACCAGACTTGGGAGAGGTGATAGTTCTGAAAAGGACCCAGTGGCATTGGAAAGTCGCCAAGGAAAGAGGCACAGAGAAAAAAAAAACATTTATCCAAGGGTTACCTGGGTAATAGAGAAAGAAGCAGAGTGTAGGAAAGTAAAATTTTCTCAGATTCAGAGAAGAAAAATGTAGAAGCACGCATCCCAAGTTTTCCAGACAACCCTGATCTGAATTAAAATGCTTACAATTGTGTTAGGAACTGAGGCCCATAAAATTATGGAGCATGTTTTGGGAGGGGTTTTAAAAACTTTTTACATTTTGTTTGTTAGAAGGCACAAACTACGTGTGTTTTGACATCTTGACAAGGTGTAGAGGTTTCTATATGTTTCAGCCATTACTCATACCCTGCCTAGTGGAATGCAATGCCTTTAAAACAAACTAATGGCACTGAACTCTAGGCTGCTCCTTAGGTAAGAGGAAGTTATGCTGCCCAGAGACAGTGTTTCAGTCTGACTATAGATACAAGATATGCTTCCATTTCACATTTGTCAACATTTGAAAATTTACATTATCTCTGCCCACTCTGAAGCATAAGAATTTTAACCAAAAGCCATTTTGCAGAAAGAAATGGGATAGCGGGCAACCATGTTCATTACTCTCCCCCTGATAAGGGCTCAAAATCATTTCAAGTTCATTGCACCATTATTTTTTGGAGAGTGGAGTGGAGAACTCCATGGACTCTAACATAAAAAAAAAAAATAAGACTGCAGTCAGGCTAGAGACATAAAAGCCTGGTGTAAGCAGATGAACTATCCTTTCTATTCTGGAGTTCTAGCTCAGCTTTAATCACCCAACATCTCAGTACTCCATGCACTGCTGCTCAACTGGCTGCTCTGGTAGGTCCTGGCTATCTGGGCAGCTATGAATGAAGTTCTTTCTGCTGACACTTTGGTATTTTAGATATGTGCCTCCATGAGTAGGTGCTAAGGCATCCCAAAGTACCTATTCTCACACTTAACAACTTTTTCTCCAACAACTTTTTGTG